TATTATTATTATTACCCAGACTTCGGATGTCCTGATAAGGACTTGGTTGTCCAGGGCCGTACAGATTTCAAAACAAAATACAACAACAACAATATATAGAAGCCCCTTTTAAAGATGAATTCAAAAGGATTTGATGTATAGTGAGTGATTGATATAAACTACGGAACGTGAACACGAAGTAGTTTCCACACGCGTTAGAGTTCTAGACCTTTAATTTACCAAAAAAACTTATTGCGTAAACACACTTTTTAGTCGTCGGATCGGTTGAAACTTTAAAATATAAACCCACAAAATCTGTCGCTCGTAACCGCCATGTTTTCCTTGAAGGCTTTGGAGGCCCGGGTTCAAAGCTTCAGTGTTCTGTGTATCCCTACCGGGGGTACACATATCACTAGTTGATATGTGTGCGGGGGTACACACATCACGGGGGTACACACATCACTGCGACACCTGTCGCAGTGATATCCTGTTTAGTTCCGAAGTCTTTACTCCTATGTCCATATTCCAAAATTTAACCTTAATGAGCATCCCGGCATCCTAAGGGAAAAAAAACAAAACATGGCGGACCCTATTGCATCACAACAACGCAAAGTTGGACGTTTTGTCCAGAAGGTTTAGTACTGCTCCATCATAAGGATTTCATATTTATTGAATTCACTTTGAAAGGCGATTTTTTTTGGCAAAGTCACGAAGGTGGAATCGATCTTGGCGAGATGGCTAAATGTATGGAAGTTCTTAACGAAGCTGTTCTCCAAGAACAACTGGAAGAAGTCACGGTTCTTCAGTCGATCTTTCAAGGAGATCTCCAAATGCTCCGTGAAGGAGGTGAAGAGGGTAGCATTTGCTTTAACCTGATGGTCAGAGTCGACATCCCATGCGATAAAATTGACTGTGAAGCTTTTATTCCAATAGCTGTCGGGGAACGTTCTGCGAGAGCCTGCAGCAGTGAAACTAACTCGGATATTGAGTCCGGATGCCATGGCGAGAATAACCAAGAAAGTAAAGCTATGGGAAAAAGTGGAAGTAACATAGAAACTCAACTCAACGGATCGGAAGTGAGTGCGGTGGATGGGGATGGCGGGAGGCCAAGGGAGGACTCGTCTTCCACTACGTATAGCAGCACTGCTTTTGTTGGACGAAAACCTGGTTTTTCGAGGTCCTTGTCTCTTCAACACTGGCGTGTGACCGCTGATCTTCAACACCTTACCCCGATATGTCTAACGTGTACATTTCCTCGGCTGTACCCCGCAGAACGCCCACCCGAGGTTTCCCTGAGTTGCCTGTGGCTCAGCAAAGATCAGATCCAAGTTCTGCGAGATAAGTTGATTAATCTGTGGACAGAAACGCCAAATATGCCGATCGTCTTCACCTGGGCAGACTGGTTGCAGAATTATGCATATCAACATCTGGGTTTGGGACCACACTTGGTGTTAAAGGTGGATGAAAGGGCAGTGATAGAATCAGAGTTTCAGTCACACATGGATGCTGCTGAAAATGGTTATAAAGATGACGAGTTAATGGAAAAAGTGAGGATTGGTACTAACTTGCAAACTGCATTGTTAACAATCTTTGAATATGACCTTGAAATGCAAAAGCAGGAGTTCCGACAAACGCCCCACTCCTGCAAAATTTGCTTTGATGAAAGAGATGGCACAGAATTCCACTATCTAGATGAATGCCAGCACTTCTTCTGCAGTGAATGTTTGAAAGCACATTGTGAATTACATGTTGAAAGTGGAACAGTGCTCAACCTGTTGTGTCCAAACCATGATTGCAAGTCAAAGATTCCACCAGAGATTCTTCAAGAAGTCCTTGATGCAGATAAGCTTGAACGATGGGAGAGGCTGTTACTTACCAAAACCTTAGACATCATGGGAGATGTTGTGTACTGCCCACGATGTAATCTGGCAGTGGTTATTGATGACGATGAAACCTCCAGACTCGCCCATTGTGCAAATTGCTACTTTGCATTTTGCACTGACTGCCACAAACAGTGGCACCCCACAGAACTATGTTTTGAAGAGTTGTCAGACTCTGAGGATGAGGAAACATCAAAGAAGAAGGGCAAAAAAAAGAAGGAAAAGAAAAAGCCAGAGACAGAGGATGCAGCTCTGAAGAGACAACGCAGACAACAAGAGCAACACAAAAGGGAAATGAGTAATGTATCTTTCATTCGCATGATGAAATTAAAAGGGACTTATCAGTACTGTCCAAAGTGTCGCATGGCTGTGGAGAGGGTCTCTGGCTGTGACATGATGCATTGTTCACAATGTGGTGCTAGCTTCTGCTGGAGATGTGGTAAGCAAAATGATTTAATTTGTGATTTTCTTTTTTCATCTCTGTCAATTTAGATTTTTATCTAATTAGTTCAGCATAAATGCTGTATGGTACAAAGTACAGAGGAATTATTGTCTGTTATTGAATTGAATGCAGGACAACCAGTTTTTAAAGGGTACCAGAGTATAGCCTTTTTTGAAATGATTGTCGTAAACACTGACCAGGAAAAAAATTTTTGTTCAGCTTATTCGTGGAAAATAGAGAAGCCTTTTGTTATTGTTAACTTAGACTGTATCTGAGTGTGTCTCTCATCCTCTCACTCAATAAGTTAAGGTGTCTAGTAGGGATACAGTACGTTTTTTGGCGGCCTCCATATTGCTCTACTTGCACTTGCTACTTTGAGAAGGGTGCTGTGAAGGGAAGGTGGATTCCCCCCCCTGACCATTTCCACCCCCTGCTGGCACTGACAAGAGGATTGGTGCTGTGCTAGAGGAATCATGGTTATGGTTTTCAGTTATGTATGGTCAGGGCTTCTGATATTCTGCGATGTTGCGATTTTGCATACCTCAAATCTCAACTTTTTGCATAATTCACCAAAAATCACATAATTCAGGCAAAATTGCAAAATTCGAGGAAAGAACAAGGAAACATTCACTTCTTACTCAAGTTATACAACTATTAAAGCATTGTTTCAAGGTGATTTACCTCTCAAAAGACGTTAGAAATCACCAAAATCATCTGCGAGTGTTCGATCGATCAAACAGGCGTTCTATGCGTAGTTTTGCATGTCGGGGACGTACCTGAAATTTGTAACATTGTTTAATTAAGGAGGAATGAAGTGACACATAATTGACTAAATGAGCCATTTCAGATTAAAATAATTAAAATGAGGCAACAATTGATTTATTAATTTGGATGCTTTGATTAGTTTTTTTTATGCTCTAATTGCCCATTGGACAGAAAAAAATGGGTTTCCTCCTCTGAGACCTAAAAAAACAATGTTAAATCAGCTTTAAAAAGATCTCATAATTTGCCGCATAATAGACCTTTCTTGCCGCATAATTTCCCTTGAAAATGCTGCAGAATTTCCCACTTTTTGCAGCACCCTATCAGAAGCACTGTACAATAAACTGGTGTATAAGGTCTCCTGACCTACAGACCTTTTTATCTACATTGTATCTACATTGTGTTTCATTGTGACATACTAGTCTGTTTTATGAACTGAAAGTCTAATTGATGGTGTGCCTCACCTTAATAGAATTTATAATAAAAGCCGTACACTTTGTAACTTTCTCTGTGCATTTTGGCCTACTTTAAATTTGTTTGATTGATATTTATTTATTATATATTTATTTATTTGTATATAATGCATTACTCAGGAAAGGCAATCAGGGGCTATGAACATTTTGGAAACTGCGGCAGAGATGCTCCACATCCTTACCCACCACCCAGAGAACCACCAGAAGGAGAGGTAATGATAGAACGTTACTTAAAAGAGAATCCTAAGAAAAAGCTTCGGACTAAATTGTGTCCCCGCTGTCATCAGAAGTGTCTTAAAGAAAACAACAACAATAACCATCTTAAATGCTGGGCTTGCAAAACAGATTTTTGTTATCAATGTGGGAAGGAAATTAAGGTGACAGTAACCATGCATTTTACAGCAGCTAGTTCATGCACACAGCATTCTGAGGATTAGAGGATTTTCATTCCATTAACTAGAATGTAATCATGATTTTCTAATTTATGAAATAATGCATGAAGCTGTTGTGAAGTCTAGGTTTGCAAAGATTAAGGAATAGTATTCATGGATTGCATACATGTGTGTGATATGAACATTATGATATGATTAAAATGTTTCACCACTTGTGTGTGAGTTCAATTTTTTATAGATGCCTTTAACTTAATAAGCAATAGACCACACTGTTTACCAGAATAATAATCCAACGGGGGTGTTAGGAGAACATGAGAAAAGTTTATAAATCATGAGCCAGAGGCTAGTAAGGTAGAGTTTGATGGTCAGGATGGCAAGTGTGGTTTCTTGCTTTCATAAATTAGATAAACCTAAAAAGAAGCACAGAATGTTCAGTCAATTTTATAGGGTTGTGACAAATCAGGGCACTGTTAGTTTCTCAGTTATTTTGTAAATTTTAGTAGTCAATAAGCCTTCAGAGCAGGAGGCATATCTGGTATAGTGTAGATCTTTAGCAAAATTTACAAGCCTAGGATCATTTAATCGAAAACTGTCATGTTTCATTAAGGGGTTAGGACACTCATATTTTATTAATTCCCAGAAGGATAGAGGCTGTAGAAGAGTGTCAGTTAGGTTGTATTCAATTATTTGTAGCTTATACTGGTTAGGCCCTAAAAAGGAAGGCACTGAACTTAAAGTAATCCAGGTGTTTGAAGCCTGGTGGTGAAATTGTTTTGTTTTGTTTTTTTCTATTTTTGTACAGTTATGTAATATATTTTTTTATGATTGAGTTATATTTTTCAATTATTTTCCAGTCCAGCCCTCCCACCTAGGCAATAACAGGGCTTGACACACTAACAGTAGCCAACTAGCCACAGACTAGTAGAAATTCTATTTCCACTAACCAGTTTGGCTAGTAAACAAACTGAAATTGTCGTAACATTTAGGATATCACTGTCAAGCTCTGAATAATAAGTACGTAATTCTATGGATAGCACAGTGTGTTTTGACCACATTCATCCATTGGATAGCAATCTATCCATTAGATTTGTGTTATCCACCCTTTGCGCAAATGAGCCATGGCTTAATCCCAGTGACTTAAATGCTTCATACTAGGCAACAAGTACACTGTATAATACACATTATTTATCAACTTGGCTTTGCTATGAGGGCCTAAATTTTGAAGAAATAGTATTTTGTGTGGTGAAACACCAAAATGCATGTAATGCTAGCCTGGTAATTATTTAATTGAACATATTTATATCTTTTAAATTTATTTTAAGACACTTTTTCATTTAAACAAGCTCTCACTCATATGTGATATGTGTGTAAATAAACTTGGTTCTGTACAACATATGTCTTATTCACTTATCTTTGGAATTCAAAAATGACCATGATGTGAAACGTTATTGTTATTATTATTATTATTATTATTATTATTATTATTATTGTTATTATCAGAGAATTAATGTTTAGATTTGTTACTGTGACAGGAGATTACAATGAGGTTTCAAGGTTTGTATGAAACTGCACACTCAGGGAGCTGGAATTTTAGGAATTACTTTAATTTCGGTTGATTAAAAAATTGTGAGTAGGTAACTGATGGAACAAAATGGGCAAGCCTGGAAACAACTGAAGAAAAAAAAGAATGATCAAATAAACAATCACTGTGAAAGAGACTTTGGGAGTCAAAGATCTGATAATGTATTGGGATTACAACTTTCTTTTTTTACATGCACTTCAACAATATAGGAGTTATCATCTTTTTTAAGGTAAAGTCGACAGTGAGTGAATGAAAATGATGAGGAAAATGCCTAGATTTTGTGTGAAAGTGACAGTGAGAGTAAATCTGAACAATGAGAGCTTAAAGCGAATTAATACAACGCGAAACGCTAACAACCAAGCCTTGATTGATGTCAGTGCACATTTGACAGAACGAAAGGATGGCTCAATCTCCAACATGGTACCGTAAAACCGGTGTCCAGTCTTTTCGTCCAAGAATTTTTTCGTCCGAAAGTCTTTTCGTCCAAGTATTTTCATCTTAAGTCTGTTCGTCTAATTATTAAATCTTTCCGCGAAGCAAATAAATAAGTATTATATTATATTATAGATAAGGCTATATAAAGAACTTATCAATGCGAGCCGTTGCCCTTTTGGTTCACCAATCTTGATCGTTTACGAATTCAACGTCATGAATTTAATACACAGAGAATGAATGAAGTTGTAACGCAATATAAATTATTTTATTAAATAGTCGTAAAAATAAAGACTTGCTTGCCGTTTAATTATTTCACGCGAAAGAAATGGGAATATTAGGCTCGTTGTTAAGCGTGAAAGGCAACGAAGTGTAACATCACTACGTGTCCGACATACCCAAATGGCGGCGGCTCGCAACAAGTTCTTTATATAGCCTTATCTAGCCTTCTAAAAGTTATTTATTTGCTTCGAGAAAGGACTTAACAAGTAAACGAACAGACTTAGGTGAAAATACGTTTGGACGAAAAGACTTGGACAAAAAGACGTTTGGACGAAAAGACCGTAATCCGTAAAACCCGTGCGCCTCGACTTACTTGCAACTTTCAACTAACATAAATGTCCCGAAATATAAGCACTTTCACGCTCGCGAGTCTTATTTGGACAAGGAAACGTGTTGTTTATGTAAGAAAGTGCTTTTATCTGTGCGGTGCAAGTAAAACAAAGTTACAAAGTAGTCTTTTAAAAAACGTTTCATTATGTTGTCGAATGGACATCTGCAAAAATAAAATGCGCCTCACTTTTTACAAGAATATTTTTTTATGTAGAGTTAGGATGCTGTAATCCACATTGTATGTATCGATTTTCTTACCGTCCTATAAGCTTTAATTAAAATGTTCACTCGAGACAGAACAAAAGCCGCATTGCCAAAAGTTAATTTTGCAGGACGTTTGCCGCATCGGTTTCGAGGAAATTTTTCATCGGTTAGATGAGTAAAAAAA